ACTGAGTCTTATCTCAAAATTATATTCGAGCTCCTTATTTATTATATGCTTAATAATCTTCACACGTTTTAAATTACAGATGTCAATCAATTAAATAAATCACTGACAATTATATTTAATTGACTTCTATTATTCTTTAAGACCTTACTACTCAACTTATTGTCATATTGGATAATTAAATTCATCTACAGGATTTGACATGGACAAAACTTACGAACTTTCTCAAAAGGACATCATCAACCCATTTAAATACTAAGACGTTGTTTTCTTTAATATTTAATTTTTATCATACAAATAACATTGTCTTTGAAATCATCGAGTGTNCATCATCAACCCATTTAAATACTAAGACGTTTTTTTCTTTAATATTTAATTTTTACCATACAAATAACATTGTCTTCGAAATCATCAAGCTTATTGACTCAATATGAATCTCTCTCTTTGATGAATTAAAATGACAAACATTATATGCACATGACAATTAAATATTTAGAGATTAAGAGCATAAACAATCATAATAATCATAAGATATTTATTATCTTATTAAATCAGTAAAAGATAATAACATCAGCATGGGTCTGTTCAATATACAAAATGTACTAGTGCAATAATCTGAGACATTAAACAATCTTCTATAGTCAAGACAAACTATGCCAGAATATTACACTATAATCATACCGATGGCGTGTCCAATTTCATCTACGATTATGAACATATATTTATATTATACAAGGGATCCAATAATCTGATCTTCTGTGTATAAACCGAACTCTACACTCCAGATTATCTATAATGTAAAATATAAAATTGATAAGTTTGAGCTTTTGATTATAATTGGACTTTTAACATGGATTTGGGCCTTTTGAACTCGGCCTATCAATATATTTGTAACCCTTAAGTATATTTGCAAACACACAAACAACAATTACTCAATGAGAATATTACCCTTACAAGATAATTTGTATTAAACATTTATTCAATATAAAATTTTAAATTTTATTAAATTCATCCCAAAAAGTTGACCATAATGACACCACTTAGTTGGGAAAAAACAAAGGAAGTTGTTTGGTCAAACACAATTTGTACACACAGCTTCTACAATTAGTTAACTTGTCGTAAGGTTGTCGGTCTTCTACTATAATCTACATCCGTCACCGCGCACGACATCTCTGGAGGAGCTCCGCATCCTGTACTCCACCGCTTTGCTGGAAAGGGGAGTACTTCTCTCACCTACCGTGGCGTCATATGCACAACCCGTCCTACCTCCTTACCCCTTGGGGCTTATTCATCATCTTTCCAAATTTCACTTATCAAATTAATACCAATTAATCTATCGAATTAGTGGTCTAGTGATAAGTCATTTTTATTTAGGATTGTCCTTAACTCTCGTGTAGTTATGAACTAAGATTCGATTTATAGAAGTAACGCAATTTGTTTGTTAACTTGGTGGTACTATGATGACAGAATGTCCTTTTGGATTAATAACTATGACTTAAATTAAATATTCTACAGTACGGGAGATCCTTTCTTATGGTCATGTCTAGGGGATTACTACCTAAGGGTAGCCCCTCCCCCCTTTTCTAGTTCAAAAAACATTTAATATCAATTATTAATTAGTAAGATTAATCCAAAAGTTTATTAAATGAGATATAAAAAATTTATATACACATCATTCCTTCCTAGAAAATTGATCCAAATATCTTTTCATAGTTTTTTCTTGACAAATTGTCAACCATTAACAAGTAAAAGACTCGTTTAACTGTAATAGATTCCACTTGAATATAAATTGGGTGGAGGATAATGATTGGTCTAATGATCACCAATTCCTTTATTAGATGTTAAAGTTGTGAGTTTGAATCTTGTCATCTCTCTCCTATAATAGTTCGTAAGTTTGAATCTCGTCATTTCTCTCGTATATTAGTTGACCTAATAATTACTGCCTCTGTTGTTAGATATTAAAATTATGAGTTCTTCGTTATTTTTCTCGCAGTAATAATGTCTGACCCAAAAAAAGAAATTATTGTATTTGGTTGGTNATAGAAGTAACGCAATTTGTTTGTTAACTTGGTGGTACTATGATGACAGAATGTCCTTTTGGATTAATAACTATGACTTAAATTAAATATTCTACAGTACGGGAGATCCTTTCTTATGGTCATGTCTAGGGGATTACTACCTAAGGGTAGCCCCTCCCCCCTTTTCTAGTTCAAAAAACATTTAATATCAATTATTAATTAGTAAGATTAATCCAAAAGTTTATTAAATGAGATATAAAAAATTTATATACACATCATTCCTTCCTAGAAAATTGATCCAAATATCTTTTCATAGTTTTTTCTTGACAAATTGTCAACCATTAACAAGTAAAAGACTCGTTTAACTGTAATAGATTCCACTTGAATATAAATTGGGTGGAGGATAATGATTGGTCTAATGATCACCAATTCCTTTATTAGATGTTAAAGTTGTGAGTTTGAATCTTGTCATCTCTCTCCTATAATAGTTCGTAAGTTTGAATCTCGTCATTTCTCTCGTATATTAGTTGACCTAATAATTACTGCCTCTGTTGTTAGATATTAAAATTATGAGTTCTTCGTTATTTTTCTCGCAGTAATAATGTCTGACCCAAAAAAAGAAATTATTGTATTTGGTTGGTCTCATTGTAATCTTTGATATTATGCTATTGCATAAAAAATGAATTTTCTCAACATATTCAAATTAACCGATCTTGTATGTTATTACTTACCTAAAATCGAGCAACCCAATAAAGTTATTAAAATACATAAAATAATCAGATTCTTTTTTGTGCACTGTCGTTGTTGAAGCTAATAATAACAAATTGAGCATTCCAGCTTATCAAGCGTATCGAAAGAAACGAGTTTGTATCGAATTTTAATATATTCGTAGCATATCAAATTTGTATTGCGTGAACTAATATAAATACGAGTCATGTTGTATATGTTTTTAATTAACTTTAGTCATACATAGTTTATTTATTAATTGTGTTGCGTTAAAATTATTCATTTATAAAATAGGTGGCTTAAAAAGACTCAAACCTTCTAAGATTTACCTGATACAAATTTGTCTTAGTATACGATGATGCACAAAATAGTTTTGCACACCACTCATCAAGTGTGAATAATAAATGCAAGAAATAAAATAAAGAGATGGAGAGACACAAGTAATTTATAGTGGTGTTCGGTCAACTCGATCTCCTACGTCCACTCTTAAATGACTCTGATCGCCGGATACTTTATTAACTCAAGGGCGTGAGGAACAGAAAGTATAAACTTTTTGGGAGATGAGAGAATCTTGCTCAGATAAAGTGATATCTACCTCCCAAGTGTTGGTGGGACTTACAATTTATAATCGTCTTCCTAATAGATTTGGACAAAATATTAGTAAGTAATTGGCTAATTTGTTGGATTTGACGAGCTCTTCTCAACGTGCTAGGCAGTTGCGGTGTTCTCCATGAGATTCGGTCAAAGGATGAAGTGAGGTGTTGACCATCTCCAGAGCAGCGAGGATAGAGTTTTGGATGATCTTGTTTGCTCTCTTAGTTCCTTGAGCTGCTGAGCTTGACCGGGCTAATCACATTGATAAGCTTGACCGGGTAGAGCTGATAAGCTTGACCGGGTTGAGCTGATGAGCTTGACCAAGTTGGCCATACTGGGCTGAATTTGCTGAATCTCTTGGAGTCAGACTATAAACTTGAACTAGATTTATAACATGAGTTGGGTCTTTGAGCTTGACCCATCAGTATATATTAAATAAAATTCATTATTAATTTAATAAAAATAATATATTAAATTTTAAAATTAAATATAAGAGTCGTTGTTGTTTGATTAGATATTATTATATTAACCTAATACCAAAAAAAAATAATTATATAAATATAATTAACTTGAAACAATTATATTGCGTAAATATGTAATGCCATCAGCTATGCCCCGGTTGCACAACAACCCTATATTATATGTGGAAAAGAACGAATTGACTATAAAAATTACAATAAGGGAATCCTCTGTCTCTTATAATTCTAAATGGTACCCTTGTAGTTTTTCAAATCATACCGACAAGGCCTACTAGATTTGGACACACGTATCGAGGGGCATAGCCATTTTTTATTTTTGATGCACAACTTAATTACAAGACAATGGTAGGGTGTGCATAATTCAATACATTTTAATGACATTTAAAGTGGACAAATACTTGAGATCCCAAATGAGAGAGAAATATTTGATGAGTGGGTCGTGTCAATTTTTTTTAACAAAATTCACGGATCTAATGGTCCATATAAAAGAATTAACGTGACTCGCATGATTTGGCATATGTGATTTTATTGATTATTATTGAATAATTAGTTTGAACTAGATAATGATAGTGTTATCAATTCTAATCTAATCGGTATAACTAAAATTTATAATTGGTCAATTAAAAGAAACAGTTTCCTATACATCTACTTTGATAGGAAATGGAATTATGGTTGAACGAGAAAACTTAACGGTTTATGATTGGTCAATTAAGAGAAGTAGTTTTCTATACTTTGATGGGAAGTGGAATTATGGTTGAACAAGTAAACCGGTCCTATAAATATACACACACTTTATTGAGTTGTGTATCATAAAAGAGAGAGATTGATTTTTCAGGCTACATGAAAAGGGTTTTTGGATTAAGATTTACGATGACGGCTCTAGGTATGTTGATATGAGTATATAAAAATCATAATTGTTCTAGATCTTAGATTATAATGTTTTATTATGTATTATGAGTATGTTAAAATAATCATGATTGTTCTAGGTCTTGGATTATAATGTTTTAATTTTGTATTATGGGTATGTGAAAATCATGATTATTCTAGAGCTTGAAATTAGGGTTTGATTGATCTTTTGATAAAATATTTGGGGCGTAAGTGTAATATTTATCACATAAAGACTTTTAAGGGCTCTGTCTTTTAGAAGTTAGAAATTCCTCTCCTATTTAATTGTGATTCACAGCCTCCTTGGCTTCGTTCTCTCCTCCTACAGAGCCCTCCGCTCTCTTCTTGGAATAAGAATTATTCTTAGGAATCTAATCTTTCTTCTTTCTCTCTCTACATTTCCTCTGCAAATTTTCTCTTCTCTGTCTCTCCGATTAGATTCTCTTTTACGTATATATTAGTTCAACAACTTCTTAGCTTCTCCGTTGCCATAGAAGATGATGAGTACCGTCGTCAAGATCGATGGGGAAGAACCAACCGACCTTCTTGACGATCTATCGGCCCAAGAACAGGTGGGTTTCCTGTGATTCGCCTTTAGTTTCTATATTTTTTGTTGATTTTTGAACTTCTTGGACTATATCTTGATTGGTTTCCGAGAAAATTAACAGAGAATTCTTATGTTGTCCAATTTCCGTTGTTGCATTCTCTCCTAGAGGGCTCTTTTATTGGAATCGATTTTTCTCTCTTTACGTATATGACTTCGACAACATCTGAGCTTCTCTTTTCTTCTCCGGTGCCAAAGACGATGAGCACCGTCATCAAGGTCGATGGTGAAGAACTGGCCGACCTTCTTCATGATCTATCGGCCCAAGAACAGGTGGGTTTCGTCTGATTTTGTCGATTCTTGAACTTCTTGGACCACATCGTGCTTGTTTGCCGTGAAAAATTTAGCGGAGAATTCGTATGTTGTCCAATTTCTGTTGTTTCAATTTACCGAGGGACCATTATTACTTATTTCTGTTGTTGCATTATCTGCTCTCTTCTTGGAATAAGAATTGCGCTTTGGAATTTCTCTCTCTCTCTCTCTCTCGCATGTATATTATTACTTCGACAACTTGTTAACTTCTCTTTTCTTCTCCGGTGCCATAGACAATAAGTACCGTCGTCAAGATTGATGATCAAGAATCAACCGACCTTCTTGACGATCTATCGGCCCAAGAACAGGTGGGTTTCATGTGATTCGCCTTAGTTTCTATATTTTTGTCGATTCTTGAACATCTTGGATATTGATTGATTTCCGAGAAAATTAAAGTTGTTCAATTTCTGATTGTTTCAATACACCGAGGTACCATTATTGTTTATTTCTGCTGCTGCATTTTCTCCTGGAGGGCTCTTTTCTTCTTTGGAATCGATATTTCTCTCTGTAGATTTTCTATTCTCTTTCCGATTAAGTTCTCTTTTCTTCTCCGGTGCCATAGACAACGAGTACCATCGTCAAGATCGATAGTCAACAACCAACCGACCTTCTTGACGATCTATTGGGCCAAGAGCAGGTGGGTTTCTTGTGATTCCGCTTTAATTTCTATATTTTGTGCGTTCTTCAACTAGATCTTGCTTGGGTGGCGATAAATTTGACCAAAAATTACAAAAATATCTTAATATTATCCAATCATTATTATTTATTTTTGTTGTTTCAATTCACCGAGGGACCATTGGCAAAATGTAAAGTATCTTGTACATGTTCTTCAAATTTCTTGGCAACCAAATGGAGTATTAAGTCATATATTTTGCTTATATTTATTTTTGGGTTCATAGCATTTTGGTCAATCCTTTTTTGTTTGCCGAGAAAATCAATAGTGCAAGAAAATGTTGATTCTTCACTTTTGTTTCACAAAATTGGTTGTATTTAAATAAAATCTAGCAATTATGTGTATTAGGTTTTGTGTGGTTCTTTTGGAGGTTTTTTTGCAACTGGGAAGTGGGTCTTGTTAGTGTTATTTAATTGTATTTGTAACTGGGTGGATATAATTGATTTGGCTTTGTGTCTTTCGGAGCGAATTGCAGATTGCAGTGGAGCTTCCTCAAGTGAAGTGTGGGGATGGTCATCATGGGGTTTGTGCCATTTGTTTGTCTAAGATAATTCTTCAAGAAACTGCCCTTGTAAAAGGTTGCGAGCATGCCTACTGGTTTGTCTAAGTCAACTCCCTGGTTATCTACCATTTCTTGACTATAATTATATGTATGCGTATTTCGCTTGATTGGGGATACTTGGCCTCATACTGTTACTTGGTTGTTGACATGGTCATGCTTATATCTCATGATACCGCAAAATTTAAAAGCCATTTTCATTGTTGAACAAAACAATTCAAAACTTATTGATAATGAGTGGTGGTTTTTTTGTGTTTTTTTGGGGGGAAGGGGGACCTCATTACGAATTGGCAATGGAGAGACACACTAAACTCATATTCTAGTTTCGTAGGCATTACTTACCAATGTGAGACAAGACCTAAGGCTGTTGTATATGGATTCAGAAGTGATCCCCTGTTTTGTACCTAGATAAGGATGAATAGCAATTTTCAAAATTGTTTTCCTCTTGTTGCCTTTGTGCCTTTGACTCAGATAGTATTAGACTAATTTTTTCTAGAAAAATGTAAATATGGATCTATGGGACAGACTCTTGCTTGGAGCATATCAGTCAGGGGCTTTAGTTGGGACCTAGGTTTGAACTGTGATGATAAATACAATTAATAACATTAGAAAATTAAAAATGGACTAGCTGAGTGGATAAAAGCGGGTGCGAAACAAAACCATAGATGGAGAGCACTTGAACGTCGCGTATGGAGTGGTGGTCTGCTAGTAGAATTTGTTTTTTCTTATCTAATTGTTGTCCAAGATGCTCATTTGGTGAAATCAAAGCTCAAAGTAGGATGGAAACATGAAATATGGTACTCCCTCCGTTTCTAAATATCTGTCGTTTAAGGTTTTTGCACAGGGATTAAAGAAGCTATTAAATAGCTGTAATATGAGTAAAAAATAATTACACAAGACTAAAATACCCTTATTCAATATGTATTGGGAAGGAAAAGAATATGAAAGACACTTAGCCTCTACCTAATGTAATGCTTTGAAAAGTTAATTGTAAACTTGGAAGAAAAAATATTAATTATGCTTTAATTTTATAAAATGACAGATATTATGGAACAAAAAAAATTATGTAAAACGACAGATATTTAGGAACAGAGGGAATAATTATAATGATATATGTCCTCATTAGCCAATGGCCTGCAATTGTATTGTTGAACTATTTATTGGTAAGCTATTAATCCATCGACTTTGATTGCTTTGTTCAGTGTGATGTGCATACTTCGGTGGGCCACATATAAAAATGAACCAACATGCCCTCAGTGCAAACATCCATTTGAGTTCCTCCACATTCATCGGTCGCTTGATGGAAGGTATAGTTCTAGTACCATTTCTCTTTATACTTTTTTGTTTTTCATTTATTGTATGGATGTTAGCCATGTTAAACATGTTAATAGGAGATGTTTGACATGATAAATTTTTTGTATTGCCACTTACTGAAATTTCATGTCCTGCTTGAGCAGTATGCATGATTTTTTGTTTGAGGAGAGTGTTTGCCTCCTCCTTAGAGCCTCGTGGTTCAAGCCTTTAGTTGTGGAGGACCAGGGGGAGGTGGATGATGAGGTGGAGGACTTGTATCTCTATGAGGATGATGGGGAAGGTTTAGATGATGTTTACTTGGCCAGTTCATCAAGTTTCCGCATAGGTAACCGGAGATGGGGTGATAATGGATATGTTAGGGCAGGGCGGCAACAAGCAAGGCCAGTTTCTCATCCAAATGTCCAGGGGTCTGGTGCTGGTCCATCACGTGAACCTAAGAAGAAAGAGATTGCAAAAGATACCGTTGGACGAAGGGCAAAAAGGGCACTAAAGCGTGAAGCTGCCGATAAGGCAGCTGCTGCCAAACATCAGCAGCATTTGTTGAGGTTGGGCCGGATGTGATGCTCTGATTGTGATTGCCTTCTGCAGCCTTCATCCTTGCAATTTGCTGTTTGCTTGTACAGAATATTTGTTAATAATGACATGGTAGATGTAGGGTTTCTAGGTTATAATGGGCTCTCACTGCCCCCTTCTATGTTCAAATTCAAGTGCTTGATCATTGCACTGTGCTACCATTGCACTTCTGACTGAACTTTGCTCAGGTTGTACATTCAGGTCCAATGAATTTTAGTTTAGGATTGGAGTTTATATTACTCCAATGATCAAAAGTTTGTGGGCATTGATTGATCTGCAAAATTTGAATAGGCGTGGCTGCCGGAAATAAATGAAATAAATAAAACAGAAAGAAGGTCTATAAATTTGGGACTGAAATTAGGATGTCCAAAAAACTTTGAAACTGATACCAATTTAACTGCCAATCCACCCTATTGATTATTTTCTTGGCTTGTTTTAGTAGTTTTAGCACTTTATTGTTATTTCTTGAAAATATGTAGGATCTTTGAGCAAAAATTGGAATTGACAAGTTCTAAAGTAGTGGAAGCTTGAAGGAAAAAATTGAAAGAAAAAAAAATCTAATTTGGAATTTATTGGTTAACTGCAATTTGAAACTTCTTTTGTTTCTAATTGATATTATATGTTTTTTTTTTCTTTTTAAAAAGAAAACTGCAAGTATTTTAGTAAATTTTATTAACTTAAAAGAGTTAATGTTTTCAAAGTGGAGAAAAGGTGGTTTGAATTGAACCCTGTTTCTGGGAATGTAAAATTTGGCTTTTGCTAAGCTGCAGTGGCATTTTTTTTCAGTGGCTATGTTGAGCAATTTAACTGTATTTCCAAAAAAAAAAAAAACCCAATACAGTTGGTCTGGACATTGAACTTTACTTTTTCACTGCAGTGATCATAAAAATTTCTTCTATTTGATGGATTTTTGGGAACAAATTTTGTGTGGTCACTGTGCAATTAGAGAGTAGAAATTTTCAGAGGTTTACAGATCAATTATGTTTTGTTTTGTGGGATTTTAAATAGCAAAATCTGTCATTTCATATAGGGTGGTGTGTGTGTACAAATATATTTATATATATGCACTCATTTTAGTGGTAATATTTAGGTGTACATGAAAATTTCACCCAACCCTATGCTCTTTTTCAAATACATTATAATAAAAAGAGTGGATGTCTTCCCAATCTCAAAATATCCATCTCAAGCCCCATTCTATTTTATACCCACTTCTTTTAGATGCATGTCATGTTTTGAAAGTTAGAGGTACAATTGATCACTTATTTGCTCCTAACTCAGTGAAGTCTGTTTTTTTTTCCTTTTAACATTAACATATACTTAGAAGTCAACAAATTGTATTTTTAGAAATAAAAAATATTCTCTTTTATATTTCTTTTTTTCTTAAAATTGCATATATGTCCCAGAAAATATGTTTGTTTTGGTAATCCAAATGAAATTTTTGATTGCATTCATTTTTTTGATGAAAATATGATGTTATATGGTTGGTAACACAATGCATGACTGAATTGATTTTGCTTAAAGAAGAAACACCTATCAACTGTGTAAGTGTAACCTGTCTTTCACCTACTTAACTCTAAAATTTCCGGCAGCCACATCTATCCAAGTAGTTTTGCAAATCAATGCCTAGCATAGTGCAATGATCAAGCTTTAAATTTAAAGACATAGCAGGGGCAGTGAACAGCCATTCAGCCTGTTATAACAGATACCCTACATATACCATGTCATTATTTCATAAATATACATTCCAAGGGATGACAAAGTGCATCACATCCGGCCCAAACTCACCGAATGCTGCTGATGTTTTGCAGCAGCTGTCTTACCAGCAACTTCATGCTTCAGTGCCCTCTTTGCCAGTCGCCCCACTGTATCTTTTGGAGCCTCTTTCTTCTTAGGCTCATGGAGATGGAAGCACTTGATTCCTGGACCTTTGGATGACAAACTAGAATTGCTTGTTGTCATCTTATCCTAACATATCTATCACCCCCTCTCCAGTTACCAATGTGGACACTTGATGTACTGCCCAAGTAAACCTTCATTTAAACATTCCACATCATCCGCATAGAAGTCCTCCACTTCATCAGCCACCTCATCTGATCCTCCACAGCCAAAGGCTTAAACCATGAGGCCCTAAGGAGTGGGTAAATATTCGACTCGAACAAAAAATCATGCATACTGCCAAATGGGGCCTGTAAATTTCAGTGAGTTGTATTACAGAAAATATATTTTGTCAGACATGTTCAATTAACATGCTTAACACAAATTATGGCTAAACAATTAAATTCGGTGGCACTTGTACGAGCATTTTCTCCTTAAAAATTTGACTAAAATGGTGTTTTGGCAGGTACAGTTCTAGTACCTTTTATCTTTCATCCTTATTGTTTTTATTTATTGTTAGGACATTGCCGATTCATTTTTATATGTGGTCCATTGAAGTAGCACTGTTAGAGTAGTCTAGTATATTCAGCATTAAAGGTAGTTTAGTATTTTATTTTGCCCTACTATATTAGGGCCCCTATTATGTATCTTGGATAATAATGAAATTGCAAAGACTCATTAGCTGTAATGATACTCATGGGTTACTCATTGTTGTGCTTCATTTTTTATTTCGAGTTCATCTTGTAGTTGTTGCGACTTTTTGAAGATTTTTTAGAAAAATAAGTTGAAATTTTTTGATCTGCTAGATCTAGGGTTTTTTGCCAAAATTTCTGATTCCAATCAGTCATAAGGGTGCGACTAGGGGTCTAAGTGTTCATCTGAATGATTCAAGGCTGTTGGGTTGATTGGTGGCAAGATTTGGATGATTTTTGTGGTTCTGTGGCCTAAAACAGTTTTTCAGTGTGAATTTCTGGGATTTCAGCAAAGTTTGGTAAAATCTCTTGTTCTGTTTGCTCGATAGGGTGATTTGCAGCATACTGAACTGATTTCTTGATGCAAACTTGATCAGTTTCTTCTCTGTGGTCTCGTCTGTTTGTTGTTGGTGTCGGAAATCCTTCCTAGGCCTATTGAGCATCTACTTCTTCGTTGGTTTCTGGTTTGTGAAGTTGGTGCTTTGGGATTCTGCTGCTGGATTCGGCCTCTTGGTTGCACAGTAATGTTGCAACCCTCCTCAAATACTCTCCTGCTGGTCTTCAGTCGCGTTGGGAATTTTGCTGGACACCTTTCACAACTTGCTGGACCTTTGTTTGCTTTTTAGTCCTGATATGTTGGGCCGTTATTTGGTGTTTACTGAGCTTTCACGTGGGTATTGGGATTGCTGGTTTGATTTATTGGCTTGAGATGCTTGTATTAAGGTTTGGGCTATTGTTTTCCTCTAAAATTTGATTCCTTTGGATTTTGCTAGTTGCTAGCCCTTGTATTGGGCTTTGGGTTTTGGATTTAGTTCAGGTAATTTGATTGTTGTTATTTGAGTTTTGTTTGCTACTATTATGGCAAGTAGAAATGCTGACTCTCACCCCTCCATTGGTCTGAAATTGACTATGATTGCTGATCAGTTGCAAAAACTTCTTCCGCAGCCTAACACTCTTCCATAGGTTCGTTCACTTCAAGTCCTTCAGGTATATCTCGAACCGCATGGGTCTATGACTCGGGTGTTACATATCACATGACTCAAATATACTTCGCAGGTGTTGGGTCTATTATTTCTCCACAACTAGCTATTTCCAATGTTTATTATATTCCACACTGCTTGCCTTGAATTTAATTTCGGTTAGTCAACTATTTGGCTCTGAATTCTCGATTCACTTTTCTTTTTCCAGTTGTGTTATGCAGGATCCATGTTCCAAAAAAATGATTGGGACAAGTAGTAGAAAGAGAGGATTGTATGTGTTAGACGAGTTGCAGATCCAGATATTGCTACTTCTACTGTTGACTTGTCGTCTTTTCATTTGAGTCCACAGTCTTTAAACTTTTATTTGTGACATTCTCGTTTTGATCATGTGCCTCATTCTAGTTTTAAGTTTTTAGTCTCCATTAGCAGTTTAGGGAACTTGAGCGTTATGACATTTTTAGTTGTAGTGGATGCATCTTAACTAAATTTACACCATTACCCTTTAATAAAAATTCTACTAGCTCTCTTGTACTTTTTGATTTGGTATATTATGATGTATGAGGACTTATTCTTATTCCTGCAAAAGGAGGGTCCAGATATTGGGCATTTTTTTTTTTGGAGGAGGGATTTGAAAACTTCATCTTTTGTTGGATTTAGAGGAAAAGAAGCCTGGTTCGTTTGAACCCGGACTTATTGGATCACTTTTCCATAATACTCTTAGTCAAACAAATACTCTTAAATCAACTAATACTAATAAAACTACTAATTACACGTCCCTTTGGACCACAAATTTCTAGGCTTTCATCTAGACTTTCAAAACCGATTGTATTGATCCAACCAACCAATAGTTGAGCCATCAGAAAAAAAATTTCAACAGGAAAAAATAATGAAGTAATGATACAACACCTTTGGAGAATGAAAACTCATCGAGGTCAATCACAAACAGTCTAGGAAGCACAAAAAAGGACACAGAGATATGGTGAAGTTCGAAAATATAGGACACGAGTAAGACAAAGATACGACTAACTAAAACAATATTATACTTACTAGACACTAATAGAATTGTAATATATTAAAAAAAAATATTATTTTGCAACAATATTAATAATAAGACCTAACAAATATGAATTTTTTGATTAAAATTGAAATAGATCAAAATAAGAATCCATCATTTTCATCAAACATCATTATATCCCGTCCACAAGTTATACAACAAAAAACACAAAGAAAACGAAGAAATCCCACATCCCTCTTTAGTTAACAGTCGTAAAATTAAAAAAAATGGTTGTAACATGGTCATGTCCAACTGAATTCACTATTTAAGATACTTCTAGCTGTATCAAACACATGTCCGACACTACCACGACACCCCATGCAAGTATCCGTGCTTCTTAGCAAAATAGTCATACGTGAACTCTTTTTTCTCACAAGCTATCACAAGTTTTTTTTTTATTATTTGCACAATTATGTCTACTAATACAAGTTTTTGGCCAGTTATGTTTAAAGAATTTTTCAATATGAAATGTGATTTCAAGAATATAGATGTATTATGTGACTTCTATTATTTCTTGGCTTCGCACCTAGGTGTGGGTAAGAGTGTGCTCAAAAACGGAAAGACTTTGTTTTCATGATTACAACTATAGAGATATAAACAGGAATTCAAGTATTTTCATGGAATCTAGTCAACCATTTATGATGGAAAAAAATATTTAGGAGTACTTCTTCGATGTAAATTTAATTAAATCCTAGGTTAGCCAAAGAAAAAGAAAAGGAATTGTCACTTTTGGTGGTTTATATTTATCTAGCCTAAGCAACATTTTTAACCATGATTCCAATAAACATTCCGGGAAAATCTTGAAAATTATTTTCTATTAACCACCACTTAATCTAACTATGTCCATCCAACTCTTA